CACCTCACGTTATTCCCGACGATATTCGACTTTCACGCAACGACCCCGACCGCGCGGCTGTGCGTGCGACTCTCCGCGGAACTACGGCCGCCGGTTCGATAATAGATAATGGTGCGTCGGCACGGATTTGCGTCGACCGTGAATTATTAAACGAGAGCGTATCCCTTTTATGTCGAAAATCGCTGTTCTTTCGCGGGAGAGAATTCCGCGCGCGGGTATCTGTGTTATTATAGAGACCGTTCAATAAATCGCAGCGAGTATGCGATTTCTCCTGAAAAAACAGATAAGAAATATAAAATAAATTGTTGCGTTTGGTCGTGTTGTTTTCGAGAAAAACAATTATCAATATAAACGTAGCGTGCATTGTGCTGTTTTGATAAAAGCGGAACTTTTCGGAGATCAATTCCCCGAATGATTTTTCTTAGAACAAAGGTATTGTTTATAGCCTGATGTGTTTAAAAAAAAAAGAACGAATAAAAAGGAACAATAAACTTGCGGCAAAGTTTCCGGGCGAAAAATCCACTTCAACTTCGTCAAAACGGGAGGAACATAATAATTCCGAAATTCAGTATAACTCTCCTTGTAGTAATCTTCACGATGCATTATACAACTGCACTTAATCGCGCTTGTGCGCGAATGTGCCAATGGCACATAGCAACCGCGAGTTTCTCCTGGCCGACAGTCTTTTCTCAGGCCCTTTCTCTCTCTCTTATCCGGGGAAGGAGTTAATGCATTTCATTAATCACCAAGAGGACCTCTCCACCCTCGTCCGTTTATCCCATCCACCCTCGCACCACATTTCGTTTGCCGCAGACGATGCGAAGCGGTTGATATTTTTCCGTCCTCGGCGCCTTGTTATTATTACTTGTCACCTCGCCGGATTTCTTTCTCCTCTCTTCAGACTTCATTTATCCCTCCCCTCCAGCGCGCGTTCGTCGGCCTCGTTTCTTAGGTTTCCGCTGCTTTACACGTCATTTAAGAAAACAGACGTTAGGGAAAAATGTACGTAGTAGTGGTAGTAGTAGTAGAGGTGGGGGGTTTGACGTTATAAAAACCTAACCGCCAAAATCGACGAAAACTTGTCGAGAGAAGTCTATTTCTAGAATATTATCGAACTCTGCATAAACGATACAATTAACGGTCGTGGTAAGCGCAAAATTTCCGGGTGAAATTAGGACGCGGCGATAAATAAAAATAAAACACGCCACGCACGTGGGCGTAAGACGCGGGCCGATACGCGTCGAGGGCGACGGAAACGAAGCAACGAATGGCGAAACGGCGGCGGCACAGGACGGGGGGAGGGTTGGAGTTCAAGGAAAGCTTGACAGCTTCTACTTTTTGCCCCGGAATTCCTGAATGGCGGCACCCCAAGAATATCTCTGCGCGCGAAAGAGGACGGAACGAGGTGGCGAGGGTGCGAGGGGGCGCGCAGTCGGAAGCCGGCGCGCACGGCGGATCGCTCGTTCTCTGTGCGAGGCAAAACGGCAGCTCCCTTGTGCCGGATCTGCCATTTGCGCGAACGCGTTCGCCCATCTTTAATGTCACGAGGCTCAATGCGAGAAATAGACGTATGCGAAGCGACATTTTGGCAAAGCGCTTTTGCCTTCGCGGTTACTACTGTCGGGGCGTTCGTACTGTAAGGACGAAATCATCGCCGCGTTACGTTACTACTTCAAACGGGCTCGTTAGGGTGGTTAAATGCACTCAAAGTGCTTCCGTTGTGTTGTCGTACATATAGGCTTTCGAGTCCCCGTCAGGTATTGTGTTCACGGTTAGTACTTCAACTGCTCAAACTTTTTTCCGTTTGCTTGTATTTGATTCTTCGTTATTATTCGCATTTTGTACTAATTATATTTAAAAAAAAAACAACTTGTATATATTTTTATAAAAGTTTTGAACTACCGCATGAATTTATGACAATTATTTTCACAATTAATCTACATAACGTTTTTTATGTAAAACACTTTGTTTCAATATTTAAAAAATTAAGGCACTATAAACAATTTATAATTGTTTTGCGATTGAGCAACCCCATTTTAATTTTTAATTATTTTTTATTTAATTTTCTCTATTTAAGAATTACATTTTATTTTACTGAATGTACACGTTAGGAAAGCAAGAAACGCGATGATGTGATGGCTGATATGTGCGCATGATGCACATATCCACATGATTTGTTTAAATTTAGGTACATTCCGCAGAATGTACATAGATGGTAGATTGTGTCCGCTTGTGAGCGGAGATTCGCCTCGGCGCGACGATGACGTCATAGACTCGATGCGAGAAATAGACGCAATATATACGGAGGACGTGGCGGCGGAGTCCATGTTTAGATGCTAGCTACGTAGAGGACCGTACTATCGTGGATTATATGTATCCCTTTATTTGTGTGGATAAACTGGGGCGTGTGTACAGACGGTTCGAGTCGGATTCATCTCGTCCGCGAACGAGATTCGCGTAATCTTATGTACACTCGAAAGATACACCCGATGGTATTCATGTTGGCAAGTGCGTGTTCTACACGCTCTTCGAAATACTAAAGAGTTCTTAATTGAATGGCTTGTTTAACGACGAACAACACACGAGTGCCGCAAAATTAATTCTCGCGGACGATATATGAAAGAACTGCGCCGAGCAGATTGAAGCAACCGCATAGTAACACACTTCCCAATGCTCGATAAATACGATCCCCGGTGCGCGCGCGCGCGCTCCGTTTCGAGTGAGAGATTTATTTTCACCGCACATTCTGAAATGATGACCTTTTACGCTGGATTTCACCCCGCACACGTTACGTAGAAAGATACAAATCACTTCTGGACGTTTGGCGGTTACGAACGGCGCGCATCCTACCGTATATACACTCGAGCCCATCTTTCGCTCTCTTCAAAAGTAAATTCCGTCGACACGTATCTCAGATAGTTGATGGTTTTTGAAATTCATTTCACTCAATATTTCATTCGCCGACGAATATATAATTAAATTATAATGTTTTTGTTTTGTTTATCCCTTCATTTTTTCGCTCGCGTTATCATATTTTAAAAATATTAAATAAAAATGATCGAAATTGTCAGGTTTTAAACTTGCAAAAATAATATTTATATATACAATTTAAAAAAATATAAAAATTGTAGATACATTAAATTAATTAAAAATTTTTAATAAATATATTCAAACTAGAAATCTTTTTACTTGTTCGCCAGAATTTTCTCAAACGAAAATTAATGTTTCTTTACTTTCGAATGAATTGTTCGAAGGATTAAAATTTTTATTTCACTTGGAAATGCTGTTTCACAAATTAATGAAGATAAGAATGGTGACGTTGTTTAAATATAATTATGTTTATGAATAGTAGTTCTCATAATAGAGCGCGCGCGCGGGAGCCGGCGGCTGTCGATGGAAAGTTATGCGAGGATAGTGCATAATGCATTAGGTATACACAATTCTGCATGAGATGCAGATATTTGCGACGTGACTTACAAGTGAGTTGTACATTATTTGTTCCTGTAATTCTACTACTTACCGGGTTACATGATACATTTACGATCCCTTCGGTATTCGAAATTATAACCCCCGGAATATGTAAAATCGACGCGTATATGTCGTTAGACGAGAGAATTACGGCGTAAGTGCAGTGCTATTATATTTTAATGACAATATGACATTTATCGATCAGGCAAAGAGAGAAGAGAACTCATTAATCCGCGCAGTGATAGGCGTTTAGAGTCAGCCACTTTTGTCTCCTCGGCAAAAGAATTTTTTTTTTTAATTTTGCTAAGTAGTGTCGGCGATCGCGTAGCTGAATTATAAACACGGGATACTCGGCTTGTCAGCATTTTTGTACATCTCGTCCGCGTGTATGCAGGAAGTTGAATGCAAATTGTACATAAATATATAACGCGAGCACACGGCAGCCTCGCGTACGATTTATGTATGTTTGTACAGCGCCAATCATTGCCGGGGCTTTTTTCGCCCATTTTTCTCGCCGTTTGAGATTTATCGTCGCTTTTTTTCCGCCTCACTCGCTGCTAGAATGCTAAAAGTTCAAAGAGGGGGAGGTACGTGGAACGAATAATTTCGCTGCTTTGTGCGCTCCGCGAAAATGGCCTCGTCGCGACCGGTTCGCCGTTCGGATACCCCTTAGAGCGAGAGATTTGTATCGGAAATGGTAAGCGCAACGACGGAGCGATGCCTTTTACGCTTTACGACCTTCTATAATCCACATATGCCTGTTATCGATAAAAGCGCGAGAGGCTCGCTGCTCGCGCGGGGTAATCGTGGAATTTGTAGGAACGCCGACGTTCGCAACATACTTATGCAGCTGCGCGCACGTGCGGCAACGCTTCCGGCGGCTTCGGAATTCCGCGACTGGGAGTCGCGTGTCAAAGGGTAGGGAAAGCGTCTATGAAAACGGAGCTCGCAAATAATTCACCGCATCGCGCGCGGAGTCCTACTTCGATATTGCCTGCCGCGTATATCGCACAGCTAATACATCAGGTATCTCGATCCGAGAATGTTTCGTTTATTTGACATTCCGCGATTGTCATCCGCGAAATTCGCGCTTTCCGTTATCGCATGTTATTCCACGCTGTATTCCATATCGTTTATCGACATCTTGCACAATGTGAAGCTCGCGCGCTGCAAATGGCATTGAAACGCCATTCCTCCTACGTCCTTTAATCTCGGTCTCTTAATCTCGGAATACATACTCTTCTCCTTTACGATCTCTTATCGCCGATCTTAATGTCTAATTAAACTTTTAAAGCCATTTAATTCTGGAAAACCCTCAAGCCTTTAAAGTATCACTGACTAATCTTGCTCGATTTAAGGCTCGTATCTTGGAAATCCTTAACGAGATTCGCTGGTGCTCAATGTCGGTACTCAGACTTGTCCGGTTGTGTTGAACGAACTCGATAGCGAGGAGCGGGATAATGGAATCCACGCGCAAATATAACTTTATCGTGAACTCTTATTAACGTTTCACTATTTTCTTTTTTTTCCAGGAGACACCGCGCCTGTGCGCTACCTATCCTTAAAAAGCCTTCTTCCGGACACTTCCGGTTACATGACTTACGAGGGCAGCACAACGCACCCCGGTTGTTGGGAAACGGCGGTGTGGCTAATTCTCAACAAACCAATTTACATCACAGCACGAGAGGTAAACATCAATCCCTTTCCGCGGCTCGATAATTCGTTGCCCAACTTCTCCCCCCCGGTAACTCTTTTTCACCCCTCTAAATTCGCGATCCGACTCGAGAGTCTCGCGTGCCACGCGATCATAATCGAATCACCCGAAAGCAGCGACCGTAGCGATAAGGCACGGGCGATAGTTTTGTCGATATGGTCGGATCAATCAACGCGAATATCGCATTATCTCACAATGTACTGTTTCTGTTATTAGCTATACGTCCTAAGGAAATTAATGCAGGGCCCTGCCAGCACGCCGAAAGCGCCGCTTGGTAACAATTCTAGACCGCTGCAGGGTCTTCATTACAGAACTGTACGAACAAATATCGATTTTGCCAAGGTAATATAACACCGTGATTATGTCATTCGATACTTGGTGTGAAGAATGTAGGTTCAATCAGCGTAATTGGCATACTGCGGTGAACGTGATATCGCAATGTTAGCACATCCATTAGAGAATTCTAATGTGACTGCGATACGATCTTTTTCCGTTTTATTTGGATCGAGAATTAACTGAATTATTTTTCAACGAGCATAAATTTTTAATAAATTATGTAAATTTTCAATCCAGATTCTTAGGTTCTTTTTTGATATATGGATATCGCTATCAATATTTTATTACGCGCGCATAATATCTGCGTAATACAAATATTTTGGTTAATTGCGCAAAGGATGAAATTTCGTGAGAATTTCTCGCAGATCTGCAACTTAAATGTACTTTGTGTGTTATTCCGGCAGCGAGGAAACGCCAAGTGTCCGTCGATGGCGCAGGACATGCATTATAAAGGTAACACACGATGTTATCCAGGCTCCTGGAGCCCCTAAACTTTGTACTTCACCGCGAAGGGATCGTCTCGATGAGAATTTGAAAAGATGACTTTTTCCTTCCAGCCAACACGTGGCGGGACGACGGCTCCCTCTCTCAAAACGTACTCTGAGGCTATCCCGCGGCAGGACCACGAGAGGAGATTTTTTTCTAAAGGCAGGAAACGGGACGAGTTCGTGTTGCGCGATGCGCGCGGAAGAGTGAGAGCTACTTTCTGATGAGGAAACGAGATTTGCCGCGGCTGTGTGAGATACGGACGTGATTTTTCAACGGCCGTAAACCGACGCGAAATGAACCATAGCGATGCCTGTGTCTTAAAGCGGACAGACAAGAGTGTAATATAAACTACGAACAAGTTGCATATTTAATTTGTAGATAAGTTTGTCACATAAATGAAACTTCGTTTTCATTCTCCGGAGTAGCGGAGTCAAAGCTGCTGCGTGTGTCGCTGCCTCGCTAATGTCATTCCCGTCGACGCGAGTGATCAAAGGAGCACCGATGTCCCGGCGGGATTACGAGTTTTCATTTAACGCTGTAAGTTCACGCACCGGAGACTAACAGTTATCAGAGGTGGGCCGGTAAAACAATACGTGTTGTCGTAAGCTATAATTTTGTAAAACGGACAATAGCGCGCTTTCAGCCGACGAATGATTCCTAATAACGAGAAGATATAGGCGTTGTTTCCTATATAAGGTAAGAGAAACTTTTTTAAACGTACTGCCCATCGCTGATAATCGCGCACAATCGTTCCGTTTACGCTGCGAGGGTTCGCGCGCGCGGTCGCGAGCAGACGCGATAAAAACGATCGATCTCGCTGATGAGCCTGTAAATCGGTCGAGTTGTTTGACAGGTTTTTGTCAATTATTTCGTAGCCAATGGCGATGCGACGTGTAAAACGATGTAAAACGAAATCCGTTACGAGATGAAGGAAGGGAAAATGGGATGGGGTGGAGGGGGGGGGGGACGGGGGAATGAGAAGCGGAAGCGCGGGAAGGAGCGAGAAACGATCGTGATGGATCTCGGGAGAAGATACAGAAGAAGAAATAGCCGGTATCACGGCGGCGGAGGAGGAAGAAGGGAGGGAGGGGCAGAGCAATTTCGTAATAGCTCCAGGATAGAGAGGAGCGGGATAATAAAGAAGGAATGGTTCGGAAGAGCAGGAGATTAGGATAAAGTCATGTGGTAGATCAACCGCGCGGAAGGGAACGCTGGCTCTCTGTCCGCTAGCTTAGCCGATGGACGCGAATAGTCCACCAGGCGCTTTTGTATATAAACACAAATACATTTTGAAAATGTACACGAACATGACATTACCCAGAAAATAGACGTTTAAGCAGTGAAAGGCGAAACTCTTAGGGAGAAAACAAGAAACCAGCGTGTGTATAGAGAATAAAATTGTATCATACGACAAAAAAAAGTGAACGTTTAACTATTGTGGTTAATAAGTAACGATAACAATAAAGGCGACGTTATATTGTACAGCAACAGCGATCGCTGCACTTCTTTTCCATTCTACTTTTCTCAATGTGACCATTTATCGCATTATTTTTAACGTTTGATTTTTACTTTTTCTTTTTTAGATCCGTCACACATCCCTTTCCTCGATCGCGTCATTTCACCGAGATAACCGGCGACGATCACGCTGAATAATTGACGCGACGTCGTACATCATAACGTTACGACGCTTAACGCGATTATTGCACAGGTGTAAATTAATAAATTCCGATAAACGCGCGCTCGCTTCCGACGCTCGAGTTCGGCTGGCGGAAAGTTCGGTTTAACGCGCCTCTCAAAATTAGGCATTACAAATTTCTTCGTCGACGTCGCGTCAAGGGTAAGGAAAGTTGCAGCGATGTTCGCGAAAAGTTTGCCGTGCTCGTGCAGCGGGATTATGCTCGATCCAAAAATTCGAGCACGCTGACAAATTATCCGGGACAAAACTGGGTTGAGCACCGGCCCGAAGTTCATGCCTCCGGCCTGCTGCGAGGCCACGTTTCATCCTTAATTAATTATCTCCAGCAGTAACGGCAACTTTCGCGGGACGCTCCACTCTCTCTCCCTCTCTCGGGATGAAGGTAAGTGGATTCTATTTTATCAATTTACGGAATAATTTATACTCGGGGAGGAAAACTGATTGCCCGTTACGCGGCACGATATTCTTCATCGCCGGCGTCACGCTTCGCGTTCATACACGATTGACGTTATTGCAATTTAATCACGTTCGGCAGCGAAAGAGGCTCCGCGGCAAGCGGCTGCAACGTATAGCTTAACGAGGTCATTGAATATGTAATTTGACTCAATGCGCGGCCGCTAATTTGCCGCTCGCTCTTTGAAGGCGAGTGCGAGTAATTACGTCACTTAAATGATATGTGCGGAAATTCGCTCTCCCAATAATTCACCTTGAATGATTTACATGTCAAGTTTCATTAAAATTGAAATTGTTAAAATTGGCGAAATATGTAATTATGCGAAGCAATATTGCAGAATGCTAGATTTTACGATATTATGCGATGTCGGACGAATACTACGTGTGAATTTGCCGAGACGCATTGATTTTTATTCGAATTAGCGTATATTTGAAGAATTTCTGCGTGTTCGCTCGCGAATTCCTCTGCAATTGCTACTCTCGTGCACGAGAGTTCGTTGCTTTAGCTATGCGAGCGATTTTTCGATCAAACGCGATACTGCCGAACACACTCGCGTTTGTCAGCCTAAACGAATGCAACGAATTTAAGGGACGGTGAGGTTCGCTGAGAATGTGCTGAGTAGCTGGCTCGTCGCATGCAGCGAGAGGTAAGAGGATGCAGGGAGATATGCTTACCGGGCTCAAAGTCCTTTGAGGGGAGAAAGAACGGGCGAGCAAAGAAGGTGAAAGAAGAGAGGAGCGCCAGCCACATGACGTTCTCGATTGGGGCGGCGGGAAGAGGTGGAGTGACGCGGCGGGCTCCTTGCGCTCTTTTATGGAAATTAAGGACGTGATTTCGGATTTCCGCAAGTACAAGTTTCATCCTCCCCCTGCCTCCTCGCCGTCCCGCACTCTAGGTCGTTTCGTGACTGCGCGCGGTATTCTCGTTTTTAAATTCCTTCATGCGCAACACACGAATGTGCAACGCAAACGTAGTCGTCGCGGGGATTTGGCAAAAATATACGTAAACTGCAGTCGTTTCTCGGCTTGTTTGAGTCGAGTATCATCGACGAGAATTTCATCAAATCCCATTTTTTCGCTGTTTTTATTCCAAATTGCAAAATTTCCAAAAAATCACTTTGCGATATTTACGTCGTACATCGGTTTGCACCGTCGCGCAGTGTGATCCGTTATTAATAAAAGTTTCGCAGAATCATATAGCCCCCTCCGCCGTGCGCATACGTCCGCATCTTACGTCTCGCAGTAGGGTGAAAAGTGCACGCGCGTGTTCCGCATGGTCTATATTCGCGTTTCAAAGCATTGAACCCGAGCGAAACACGCCACATCTAAATATGAACCAATTTCCTTGAAGCTATTGACGAAACGCGTATCGAACACGTACCAGTGCCAATTTAATCAGACGTTTCCTTCCGTTCGATATGAAGCCGCAAGGCCGTTGAACCGCCGAACACGGTTAGGCGGAATGGAAGTTAGGAAATAATAACCGAAAGTTGAATGCAAGTTCATTTGGCTGAAACTGCTTTAACGCGCATGCAACGCAGCGATTGCAGTGGCTTCGTATTACTTTACAAACGCGGCGGGGGGGTGTTTTGGAGTTAGCGCTTTCCATTCTCTTTCGAATACGTGTAAATAACCAATTGCGCCGCGATGTTAACGATTTGATGACACGGGATGTATGATATAATCGACGCGAAGCGCCGAAGTGAAATGTCGGACGCGCGGTTTGTAATTAACGATTTTTATTTTTTATCCTAAAGACACGAATTACCGCGAACTATTCTGAATGCCGGCGGAAAATTCTACGAGAAACGTTATTATTCCGTTTCAACGCCCGATGTTGGTTTTGTTAAAACTCATTTTCATGCGAAAAACCGGCACGTACACAGCCGCCTTGTTGAAAGAGAAGCCGGAACTTTAATGGAATGCACTGTGTTGAAAATTTTTTTCTCAGTCAATAATAATAATAATATCCTATTGTTCTAAGATTTCTTTACAAAACCAACACAGTTTATATCGTTAAATTATAATTAGTGCCGAGGAGATGTGGATTTCAGTTCAAGATTAATTATTGTTATTTCACTGAAATTTTTTCGTATCACAACTGCGGTCTTTAGATTGATTCACCATCGTCTTTGGAACTTCCGACTAAGCGGTCGTAAAAATAAAGCAGCGACGTATTAATAAGATGAATTCCACGTTCCTCCCCGCTAATGCGGACGGATAACAGGCAGTTCATTGCGCCGCATCGCCGAGAGTGCGGTCGTATCGCGGATCAATTCGTCGTAAACGGAAGACTTTAATTCGCGGAAAAACCGTGAAAATAGAAAGACGGATAGCCTCGGGTGATGGTGGGGGGGATAGCAGGGAGGTAGATCGCGCCCAAAAAGATAACCCCGGGGGTGGCGGCGGCGGCGGCGGTTAAAACTTATCGTCGCTTTCCTTTATGCCTGCCGCCAATAGATGAGACCGGAACGGCGTAAGAAGAGATGGAGGGAGATCGGGAAAGCATCGACCCTGGTCGCTGGCTACGCGAACCCGGGTCCAAGGATGGATAGAGGGGCGGGTGGCGGGGGAGGCTCGATCATGACTCCACAGCGCGGCGAGGAATTATGGATACCATTATACGAGAAAGATTAGAGGTCCTCGTAATATTTTTATTACCCCGTCTCACACGTTCCCATCCTTGGGTGATCTTCACACACACACACACACACACACACACGGACAGACGGACCGTGTGCGGGGGCGCGGACGGGGACACAAATTGCGGCCGGAGTAGATCGCCAGCTGAGGGATGGTGATGGCGCGACCGCCGGTCCCGCATTAAGAAGAGATCACCGTCGGTGAAAGAGACGAGGAATCGCGATGAGGAACTTAAGGAACAAAGATCCAGTCTCCGTCTGTTATCTCGCTGCGAGGAAGCGACGCGGTTAATTCGCTCGAGTACAAGGTATATTTAGATACAAATCGTCGTCTGTTTATTTTTGAACCGATTGTCTTTACGCCATTTCTAAATTTCCGCGATTGTCAAAGGCCGTTTTAACATTTTGTTTATTTATATTGTTATATAATGCAGTTGCACATTATTTATCGTCACCGATAATGGCGCAAATAACGCGTGAGATCTCATCGCAAATTGTATGAAGCTTTGTAACAAAGACATAATATCAATACGCAACATCTGTGTGATGCGTTTAAAAGCCAAATAGTGCAGGTGCTGCCCGTAATTACGCTTTTCCGGATTCGGTATTTATTACGGCCGTCTGTTCGCGTCGAAGCCCTTGAAACACAGCGGGCGATTATTAATTTACCTAACGGAGCGCACGTAGTCCTCGCAATCGATGATCGCATTCTAATGGCATGCTAATAAAACGCATCGACATTTCCGATTCGATTTACGTACGACGATGGGACAGTTATAGCTGTGCCTACAAATAATGTTTACATACATAATCACCCGACGGCCGATTCCGTCCAATTGTTTAATCCACCGTTCACGTCTCTCTAAGCGGCCGAAATTTATATTGACAGCCGAAGAATATCCAATTAAAGTCACAAATTTGCATTTTAATGTGCAATAATAAAATGATTTCTCCCGGCGGCCGACCGAGTCAGTAGATTAAATCGAAGCGAGTCGGACAAGCACAAATTGTAAATTTAAAATCCCGTATTTAAAAGCCCAGAATTTCGTCCATCTCGCTGCAGCGAGAAAAATGCAAATCTGTCCGCATTTTTGTGATTCGTTGCTGATAGTATAGCATAATAAAAGTGCGATTCAGTCATCCTTCGAATTCCTATGGC